GGAGATGGATTGAATATCTACTGCTCTAGGACCAGCCTCCTTAAGAATGGAGAGGTGTATCTCTAGAAGACTGCCCACAAAGCGATAAACTGGCCAGAGTAACTATGGATCTAAGAATGGTGTGAAAGTGATCTGCAGCAGTGAAAGGATTACCTGTCCTGAGAAAATTGTGCTTCTTCAAAATATTTATGGTACCGGACCCACATATTTTCAATTTTTAAAAAAAATTTGCAAAATTTTGAAATCTGAAACAGAGGCTTAGCCGCTCAAGAGGATGGAAAAATAGACTGACCTCATCATCTTTGAAAAGGAGCCAAACAGCTTACCAGAACTGGTTGACTCTTGGTAGAGTTGTGACAGCGCGGTCCCAGATATTTCGAGCATGATTGACCTGCCGGTTCTTCATTTCCATTTCTGCATATTTCAGCCAAAGGGTGACATTTCGGTAGTCCACATCTAGAGCACGTTCGTAGATGGAACGAGCCCTGATAGGAAAACATTGTTGGAATTAATTCAAAACATGGGGAATGAGCACTATTATTTATTCATACTGCAAGGGGTGCTCAAAGGGTAATATTTACCTCTGTACTTCTTTGAGGCTTTCCTCCCATTGTGCGTACTTGATCCAGTTGCTGATAACTGTCCGATTTTTTCTTATGTTATCTTCAAATGTCTACAGAGATAGTTGGTCTTATTTTAAAGATATAAAGAGAGTGACTCTACTATACAAGCAAAAAGAAACATACACAGAATTTGATACCTATATACAGTATTTACTTTTCCACATGAAAAAATATTAGAGCAATCGACTTATACATACAGAATGACATGGCTCAAAACATCTCAATCATACTATCTGCTAAAAACTACTTCTGAAAGGTGCTCAGAACTTTCCACATGAAAAAATATTAGAGCAATCGACTTATACATACAGAATGACATGGCTCAAAACATCTCAATCATACTATCTGCTAAAAACTACTTCTGAAAGGTGCTCAGAACGTATACTGTTACTTTCCTTATATTCAACTCTGTTCTCCAGAAAATCCAAGAAGCACCAGCATGCAAAAATTTTCTCTTATAACTAGTGAATGTCCAAAAAAGCTTTTCTTCATGTATGAAACTCTTTTTTTAAGAGGGTCTGAAGAGCCACAAGTGGAGCTCTTTTAGGAAGTTTGCCTAACAACTTTTAGACCAGTGCTTCTCAACCTTGGGTCTCCAGATGTTCTTGGATTACAATTCCCAGAAATCCTGGCCAGCACACCTGGGAACCAAAGGTTAGGAACCGCTGCTCTAGAGAAGCAAACAAGGGGGAAATTTGAGGGTACTGTTACTTTCCTTATATTCAACTCCAGAAAATCCAAGAAGCACCAGCATGCAAAAATTTTCTCTTATAACTAGTGAATGTCCAAAAAAGCTTTTCTTCATGTATGAAACTCTTTTTTTAAGAGGGTCTGAAGAGCCACAAGTGGAGCTCTTTTAGGAAGTTTGCCTAACAACTTTTAGACCAGTGCTTCTCAACCTTGGGTCTCCAGATGTTCTTGGATTACAATTCCCAGAAATCCTGGCCAGCACACCTGGGAACCAAAGGTTAGGAACCGCTGCTCTAGAGAAGCAAACAAGGGGGAAATTTGAGGGTTTTCTCCCAATAGGTTAATGTATATCCCAAGAAGTTATATATGCTGGACCTTTGAGATATGAGCTCCATATAAACAATACCAAATATCTAGTACTAGTGGAGCATTACATTTACTTACTTTTCTTTTCCGAAGCTTGTAATCATTTAGCTCTTCTTCATCTGTGATCTTCTGCTGAGGAGGTGGGGGGAGAAGTTCAAGTTCTCTCTCCTTCGCTTCTCTTAAGAGTTGCTCTGCTGTGATCTGTACTTCTGCTGGGGCTTTGTTCTTCACCTAAGAAAGCGGGAAGTACTTTAAAAATCATTCTAACAATACAGAAGTGGAAAGCAAGTTGATCAAGTCATCTAAAGGAGATAAACTTGAAGATCAGTCATATTACATACTGAAATTAATTACAAATCATATGGTACAATGTACAAAAAAAGAACCTCATTTTCTTCAAGTATTTAACTGGATAGAAACTCTGACAAATGAAAGGATAATCATAAATGAAACTTTATTCTTCTCACTATTCACTGAGGGAAATGAGAAACTGTCTAATAAAAAGTTAATTATGAATCTTTATTGGAGCAGCAAGATGTGAAATTGCACAAAATTGGAGAAATACTTAAGATCTCTCATTACAAAAATTTATGAACAGAATCTGGCAAATGGTTTTGATGGAAAAATTGACCAAACAGGTCAGAATAAATAGAGGGGAAATAAAACACAATAAATTTATGGAAATCTGGCAATCTTTATTAACATATGGTACTAAGTCAAGATAGGAGGACTATACTATGGGAAATAATTTGAATTGTTGGTTTGTAATATTTTGAATGAATTTAAGTATGTTAGGATATGAAACTAGCAGGTGTATAAATGATTATAAAGTGATAAAATATTGTATAAGCAAGATGACTGTATTGTATTATAATTTAAGTTGCTTTGTTATGTTATGGTTGCCATGAAATACACGGCAGATAAGTAACGTGAGAGGACTATAAATTAAAAAAAAATCTTAAAGTAGTAGACTGTAAAGATACAGTGAGCTATACAATGCTGGAGTCATGCAAACCTACGTTTAATGCAGTATTATGGCAGCACACTGAGATACACAGTATATTAAGCAAAATTTAAAAATCCAAATAGAGTTGTGGAAAACCCTTGTTACACCTGCACCAAAATGCAAGTGTAGTATAGTGGTAAGAGTAAAGGACTAAGATACTGAAAATCTAGATTCCTGCTGCTACTTAACCATATAACTCAACAGCTGAGCTTATGCTCATCTTTGTCTACCAGTCTGTTGTGAGGATGCAAATCATGTATGCTATTCTACAGACAGAATGGGAAGCTTCTCCTCATCATTTAGCAGCTATAAGAAAGTTTTTATCAGGCCCTTGGATGTAGAATAAATTTGTATTGTTTGCATTGCTATAAGAAGGGCACAGTGGGTATGTGACTGAGAACACATACAGTTTTATTTCTGCTCAAAATACTGTACAACTCTCACAATGCTATTTAATTTCCAGTGTTATGATAATCAATAGCTGAATATTGTCTACAATTAAATTTAAAAGGTGATAACCAGATTCCCAATGAATTAGGAACCCAAATAATTATTTTGATTTTCCTTTCCAAGACAGATAACTGGACACCAAGAACTACAGGCCACGGCACTCCTCATAAGAACATAAGAAGCACCCTGCTGGATCAGGCCAAGGGCCCATCTAGTCCAGCTTCCCGCATCTGACCATGGTCCCACCAGATGCCCCTGGGAGAACATGAGACAACTAGATACCTGTCTCCTGATACCACTCCCCTGCATCTGGCATTTTGAGGTATTGGTTGTTGTGGGTTCTTCAGGCTCTTTGGCCATGTTCTGAAGGTTGTTCTTCCCATCTTCAGAGGACAGGAGTAGCAGTAGTGCTACTCCTGTCCTCGGAAGATGCATCTATCCACTTCATCCATCCCCTGTATAATTTCATATATCTCAATCATGACCCTCCTCAGGGGCCTTTTCTCTAAACCAGGGGTCTCAAAGTATGGCCTATGGGTAAGTGCATGCGTGCAAGTGGATGGGAGTCCATACGCACACATTCCTTTAGCACTCGAAAATACATTATGTGGCCCTCCATGTGAGAAGTTTGGAAACCCCTGCTCTAGACTGAAGAGCCTCAAGCGCTGTAGCCTTTCCTCATAAGGGAGGTGCTGTAGTCATGTCATTTTAGTCGCTCTTTTGCACCTTTCCCAGTTCCACTATGTGTTTTTGGGGGTGCGTTGACCAGAACTGTATGCAATACTTCACGTGCAGCCTTACCAGAGTTTTGTACAATGGCATTACAGTGTTGGCTGTTTTGTTTTCAATCCCTTTTTAATGGTACCTAGCATGGAATTGGCCTTCTTCACTGCAGCGGCACACTGGGTTGACACTGTTATCGAACTGTCCACTAGCACAAAAACACTGATTTAGCAAGTGGTTTTTAAGATGCACAACCTTAGCACAACTTTTTTTTTCAACTTCTGCACAACAAGCTTGCTCAAATACTACCTGATCAGTTTAATCTCACTCATGTTTCCTCTGAAGTAAGTAGGGGGGCTTTCATTCAATCAAGTATTTGTATGGTGAGTGTTGTGTATATTTTTAACTTTTTTTTGTAGTGGTGTTGTCCAGTTTTACCTTGGGGAAGAGCACCTCATTTCGTTGCACCCACTTGTGAGTGCAATGACAAATAAATTTCTTATGTCTTATGTCTTATACACAAGATTTCGGGCCACTTCTGAGCAATGTTCATCCAAAAGCGTACTCTGGTCGTAAGGGCGGTTGCACATTACCACAGTCAGAGTGTGCTAGTCAGAGCACATTACCACAGTCTCTCGAGACGGAAGGATGCCTACAGTTTTCGAAACGTTTCTGTAGGGCGAATTCAGTGGCGGTCGGTTGCAAATAACTAAGACACAGGCCTCCTCGATCACAGAAACACACTCCCTGGGATCGTGTCATCCCGACATCTTCCTTCTGCTGACCTCCTCCACACGACGGGAGACTTTCCCCATACTTCCTGCGTATTCGGAGCGCCGCCACCTCTCTCCACCAGAACCCCATTCCCGCAGACTCTTTCGGCCACATCACTTCCAGCCCGAAATTTCTCCCCTTCTGTTCCGAAGCGAAACCCTGACGAGCCCGGACGTTCCCCCGCCGCCCGAGTGCTTCGCGATTCCCCCTTCCCTACCTTTGCTACTTTCGGTATTCGTTGCTTCCCAGCCGCCGTAGACGCCATTTTCGCCACCGTTCTAACCCACGGTACGAGAGCTCCGCCTCCTCTGCTCCAACTTGATCTTTGACCTCCCAGCATGCAGCGCGGCTCAGAAGGCGAGCTTCTTCGTTGCCTCAGCAACAGCCAAGCGCTGCGGTCCCCAGGAAGTGGGGCTCAGAAGCGGGTGCGAGTAGTGGGTGAAGTCTCCCGTGCCCGATGCTGAAGGGCGACGCCGGGAAGGTGAGTGCTGCAAGACCCCACGCCTCTTTCGGGATCCTAAACGGATTTTTTTTTTTTTACTCCCGGTTGATAAGAGTCCTACCCTAGACCGCACGGTAGGACTTCAGAGGGGATTTCTGGGAATCTCACTTTTCTGCTCTGGCCCTCTGTAAAGAAAGCACCGTCCAAGTGGAGGACATGTATATACATGAGCCTGCTTGTATGATTTGTCGTGTTTCCTTCGAAAAGTATTAAGACATGTGATATGCCTCTAGTTACTTTTCATGACAGAGGATGAGATGGTTGGACAATGTCATCGAAGCTATCAGAATGAATTTGACCCAACTCCGGGAGGCAGTGGAAGACAGGAGGGCCTGGCGTGCTCTGGTCCATGGGGTCACGAAGAGTCGGACACGACTAAACGACGACTTTTCATGAAGACAGGGTGACCATTGCTCCATCACCAAAAAGGACAGACCCAAGAAGGTGTAGATGAAGAACAAGGATCGCCAGAAAGGATGTCCGTTTTTTTTTAACAAAAAACGGACACTTGCATTATATTTGCATATGCTAGTTTAATATTTGCCAGTATCATCATTATTAGATATTGTCACTATAATTTAATTGGAAATACAACATAACTCATCATGTGGCACAAGGACTGGGACTAGGTGCTTGCCTTGGGTCTCATTATTGGGAGAAAGGGGAAGTGCAAATCAACTGGCCTGAACACACAGATATGATGGTGGATTTGTCCACAAAAGCTTGTATTACAAAATATAAAAGTTCGTCTTTAAGGTGCCACCACATTTTTGTCTTTTTTAACTTTTTATTTCCATTTTGCTTTTACCTATTAATGTTGCTTGTGGTCTTAATTATAAAGAGATGAAGGGCATGTGATGAGTCAAGTACCAGGTGATCCAACACACAGTGGCAGACAGCTGGCTTGCAGAACGCTGGGTATGGTGGGAGGGTGTGTTTTAATTTGTTGTAAACTGCCTAGAGTAGTGGCTTGCCACTACTCTATATGGGTAGTACAGTATATAAATGTAATTAATTATACAAACAAATGTATTGTCCTAGGGGAGTGGTCTCACATACAAGAAGAGAATGTCATGCCAAGTCCTTTCTGCTATTCTTGAGCAGTTATATCTCTGTGTGTTGTTGGCTTCTTTTCTTGCAATAAACCCTATGTGCTTAACCTATGGTCCACGGACCCCTGGGGGGGCTGTGATATCATCACAGGAGGTTCTTGAAGGATTGAAGAAATGTTATGATCTTTTGTTGTTAAAATAGAAGGAAAGAAAAGGAAAAAGAAACAGAACAAAATCTTTATTTCCCTTGTTTATGTAAAACTTGGCTTTCCTAACCTGCTGCCTCATTACAAACAAAGAAAAGTAAACATTGGTTATTAAAATAATTGTTTGAAAGCAAATAATTGTTTGATGTTTCTGCACACTGTGAAAACATGCAAGTGAGTGATGCTGAGTGGCTGAGATACACCACATGACATTTCTTGCTACTGCGCAGTCAAGCTGCAGGAAGAGAGAGTTGGAGTCAGTGTCAGAGTGAGTGTTCAGAAAGACTTCATTGTTTTTCTTCATCGATTTCTCCTAATAAAACCTTTTGGTCATTTTTGGGTAAAGTGACTTTCCAGTATTATCGCAGTGAATTTCGTAACAATACATTTTAGCTGAGCCTCAGAATGGATCACTGGCTGAATCTGAAACATAAAAAAACTGATGATGTTGATGAGGGTGCATCTGTCCAAAGCAAAATGAAGCTTCTTCCAGTTAACAAGTGTCACCATTATAGCAAGGAATGTCTGTCGATTGACTTCAGATGTACAGGTCCTGAAGACAAGCAACTACCATGGTGTGTGTTGTTACGAGATATTGCCCAAGAAACTGTGAAAATTGTGAAGACATCTCTATAGTAAACAATAAAGAAAAGGCCACAAAGAGCATCAATTTTTTTTCAAAAGTAAGGAGCATGAACTTCAGGAAAGTAAGAAAATGGTAAAAAAGACTGCATCTGGTTGTAACAATGAAAATGCAATGGGAGCTTCATTTGAAATTTCTCAACTAATAGCAAAAATCAGAAAACCACACACAGTAGCTGAAAAAATTATATTATCTTCTGCAATAACCATGGTTTCTGCATTGATTAAGAACAAACATGCCAAGGACCTTTCCTAAATATCTTTGTCAAACGACACAGTTAAGAAGCCAAGTGATGGTTTGTCAACCAATATCAATTAGATCAGACATCCTTCAGTCTCGAGAGATGATGGTAACGTGCTCTGTATGGATGACTTGGAACAGCGCCTAGTGTGGCTGAGAAGGCCAATTTGAGAGTAACAATCCCTTCCACACTGAAGACAAATACAATCTGTACCCCATGTAGCTCCCTGATTTTGCTGCTTTTTCAATATCAAGCCAATATCAAGGAACAATTATTTGAAAGAATTCTCATGTCCCCCTACTTTGCACTGCAATAGGACGAAAGCATAGACCTGACTGTGCTATGTTAGATATGAGTACAAGAGAATTTTTTTCAAAGACATACTGTTCATCTCACTGTTGGTACAAACTACAGCTGAAGAAATCTATAACAGCTTAAATGAGTTTAAAAGACCTCATGACATGGATTGGTTGAAATGCTTTGGAATTAGCACAGACAGGGAATTAGAAGTGTCTGGAAAGCATACTGGACTTGTAGCACAGATTAAGGAAATCATACCGCCTGTGACTTTGTACCACTCCTGCATACATAGAGAAGCTCTAGTTGCTATGAAGGTACCAGAAAAACTAAAGTACATATTAAATGAATCAGTCGAAATTGTCAATTTTATAACAAGCAAATCACTGAATTCAAGACTTTTTGAACAGCTTTGCAAAGCTATGGACAGTGAACACCACCAACTTTTGCTATACAGTGGTACCTCGATTTACGAACCTAATCCACATTGGAATGGTGTCCGTATTTTGAAAAGTTCATAAGTCGAGGCAAAATTTCCCAAAGGAATGCACTGAAAACCATTTAATCTGTTCCGGCTGTTTTTCATTCCTATGTTGAGGCACTGTTCGCAAATAGAGGCATTAGTTCCCATAGGATAGGGAACTAATGCATAGGAATGCATAGTCCCATAGGAACTAATGCAAAGCCGGTTAATCCGTACTCTACCACTAGGGGGAGAATTTTTAAAATTGTTTTCTTCCTTTGACCCAAGATGAAGTTAGGTTTTTTTAAAAAAAGGGGGCAGGAAAGTTTTTTTTCGTTCGTAAGTCGAGGCTCCGCTCGCAAGTCGAAGCAACATTTTGCGAATGGAGCCGTTCGTAACTTGAAATGTTCGTAAGTGGAGACGTTCGTAAGTCGAGGTACCACTGTACTTTGAAGTCCATTGGGTATCACAAGGTAAAGTTTTGCCTCATTTTTGGGAGCCGAGACAAGATCAGATTATTCCTTATAGAGAAGCAATTTCACATCAACAATCTTTTGACAGATAAATTAGCATATCTGTCAGATATTTTCACATATTTATATATGCTCAACTTAAATCTTCAAGAAAAAAAGGCTATTGCTTTTCAAGCTGAAGACAAGATTGAAGCAATGATCAAAAAGCTGGAATTGTGGCATGATCTATCAAACCAAAACTATGAGACATTTCTAAACCTCACAAATTTTCTTGGTTCCACCGCTGAAGAGTTGTCTGAGCAGGACACGTAATCGCACAGCATTTGGAAGATTTGCAGCATAGTTTGTAAATATTTTCCTGTTCCTGATGCAAGCAAAAATTGGATTAGAAATCCATTTTTTAGTTAATGTGTGTGAACTGCCCACAGCAGCAGAGGAAGACAAGCGCATAGAAATATCCACAGAGGGTGCTCTGAAACTGCAGCTTAAGGAACAGTCCCTTCCAGATTTTCAGGCTCATCTACAAGCAGATTTTTCAGAACTATGGAAGAGGGCTATGAAAATATTGATGCCTTTTGTAACAACATACTTGTTCAAAAATCAGTCTCTGCTCTTGTTTATCTTAAAAATAAGTATAGAAACCATTTGAAAAACAGAGTCAGAACTCAGAATACAAGTTTCAGGTATTAAGATCTACAAGATATGTAACAAGCCGTTTAAAAGGGACGTGGTGGCGCTGCGGGCTAAACCGCAGAAGCCTGTGCTGCAGGGTCAGAAGACCAAGCAGTCATAAGATCGAATCCACACGACGGAGTGAGCGCCCGTCGCTTGTCCCAGCTCCTGCCAAGCCAGCGGTTCGAAAGCATGCAAATGCAAGTAGATCAATAGGGACCACTTCGGTGGGAAGGTAACAGCGTTCTGTGTCTAAGTCGCACTGGCCATGTGACCACGGAAGATTGTCTTCGGACAAACGCTGGCTCTATGGCTTGGAAACGGGGATGAGCACCGCCCCCTAGAGTCGAACACGACTGGACAAAAACTTGTAAGTGAAATTCAGCACCAGCTTTCCCATTAATTATAATTATAAAAACATAATATGTTCCCTTTCCCCCTACTTATCTTGTGTTTAATGTGGTACAATTTTGTATAGATTATATTCATGTCATTTTCTAATTTTCATTTTCATGTGACATTTTGTATAGATATGTCATATTAATGGTTTTATGTCCTTGTAATTTCAATTTTTCCAGCAAGAATTAAAGACAAAAAACAAGCCTTCTGTTAATGGTCCCCAGTTTTAGCCATGCCAATGTTGAATTATTATGCTTTCCATCAGTATTTCTCAGGTGTTGACGATGTAGTGGTTCCTTTTTCCAACTGTTTAATTTATTTTCAAATTGTTGTTTCTTATATTGAGCCCTTCTTTCTCTTGTTTTCAAAATACAGTAGTGCCTCTCTTAGCGATGTTAATTCGTGCAGCAACAATGACCGCTAACAGACAACATTGCTAAGCGATTTTTAAAAGCCCATAGGAATGCATTGAAACCCCTTCAGTGCGTTCCTATGGGCAAAAAACTCACCTTTAAGTGAAAATCCTCCATACGGCGGTCATTTTCACTGCCAGGTATGCGAGGAATCCGTCCCAAAACACAGCAGGTGGCCATTTTTTTTCCGGAGGCCATTTTGGAAACGCCGATCAGCTGTAGGAAAAACATCGCTATGTGAAAATTAGGAAGCGAAACAGTTTACCGATCATCGCAAAGCGATTTTTTCCTATTTAAAACATCGCAATGTAATCGCTTTTTCGATCACTAATTCTTCGTCGCTAAGCGGTTTTGTCATTAAACGGGGCGCTCGTTAAATGAGGCACCACTGTACTCTCCATTTTCACCTCCTTAAGTAATGTTTCTCTACTTGTACTTGTACCTCTACCTCTACTGCCTGCTGTATTTGCAGTAATTCATGGCCTCCAATTTTTTTATTTCTATTTTTTTATTTCAAGGGTAAAGGGGAATAACTCGGGATAACAGAGAATATATCATGCTGTGCACTATCAGATATTATCTGTACTTAAACATATAATTACATAAAAGACTTTTGTGTCTGTTAGTTGCCTATATAATTTCAACTAGAGTTATTTGACTATTTTGTATTAAAATTTTCACATTTGACTTTCAAGTTATAGAACGGATCGAGTTATATATTAGGGTCCCATTTTTCAGATGCTTCTTGGATTGAATTGTCTCTAAAAGCTTCTCTTAATATGTCCATCTCTACCACTTCCATAATATTTTCCACTACTTCTTCACAATTTGGTATTTCAGTTTTCTTCCATTTCCATGCATATAGTATTGTGGCTGCAGTTATTATATGTGTTACCAAATGGCTCTCTCACCTATCTGAACTTTCTGGTAACATTAAATAAGAACAATTCTGGTTTTAATAGAATATTACATAGTAGAATTTTCTGTAAGCAATCATGTTTTAGTATACAATAGTTTTTTGCTTCACTACATGGCCTCCAATTTTTCATGGTAAATATAACCTGCCCACACCACTCATTATGTTTGAGAAATGACAGAGAATATTTAGGTGCATTTCCTAATCAAAGACTCTCCTACACACAAAGATTCTTACATTTGTTATTCATAATAGCCTGGCCTCAACTTTTTTGTTTGTTTGTTTTTATAAAACTGCAGCTCTCATGATGGTTCACAAAATGTTACTCTTATTTGTATTGAGGATCTACTTTCAGGAAGGAAGGAGCAGACCGTAGAAATTCACTAACACCTAATCCATTAAGCAATTTAAGCTATAAATTAAGCATCTTCTGATTCTAACCAGTAAGTTTCAAGCTTTTACCTGCAGGGAGTCATAACTGTGCTTCTTTAAAAGTTAATGTGATTTAGATGAGTCATGCTTGTTTCCAAGTACAGTGGTGCCTTGCTTGATGAGGTTAATTCGTTCGATTCAAATTGCTGTTAAGCGAAATCTTGTCAAGTGAAATGAAAAAGCCCATTGAAATGCATTGAAAACCGGTTCAATGCGTTCCAATGGACGAAATACCTCAGTGTCCAGTGAAGATCCTCCATAGGGTGGCCATTTTCTGGTGCCTGTAATGTGAGGAATCAGTCCTAAAGCACAGCAGGGAGCCATTTTGCACAGCGGGCGGCCATTTTGAAACCCGACGATCAGCTGATTTTGATCGTCGTTAAGTAAAAAATCGGTTCCTGAAGCAGGGAACTGATCAGCGTTAAGCGAAAAAAGCCCATTCAGTCATCGTTTAGCAATCACAATAGCAATCGCAAAAAACTAATTGTCAAGCGATTTCCTCATCTAACGAAGTAATCGTCAAGCGAGGCACCACTGTAAACCTGATTAGGATCAAGCTGTAAGAATTATTGTGATTTTAAAATGTTTTAAATTTCTGCAATGGCTTTGACTATAACTCTTCTGTTTAAAGTTTAGGATTATTTTTTTCTGGATTTGCTCCAGTGTATACAATGTCTTCGCTATCGTCTACAGTAGCATCATCTGTACCATCTTCTATCATACTCAGCGCTAGAAGAACAGAATCCCATGATATCCCTAATATTGTTGGTCACATGAAGTATGATACTGAAAGACTGTTTGGGAGAATCAATGTTATTTATCTTTTGTAAGTAACTAATTATGTTACACCTAAACATATTTCTTTTTTTTAATATCAAGAGCCTTTCCATGAATCATGTTAATAAATCATATATCTATTTTAGATGTTTTTCCTTGCTGGTGTTCTGAAAATCAAATTTATTCACCGGTGGTTATGGGGTTGAGACTTGAGATCTGACTTTTTCTTTTACTTGTGTTATTTACAAAAGCTAAACATTTGTTTTACAGAGAAAAAGCAAATCTTGCAATAACTATAATTAATCAAAGTAATGTACCTGTTGCCCATGCTGCATTTGTGGACTATCCAAACTGGGATATTGTTGATCAGGCACATTGGGAAATGTACATAGAACAAAGCTACATTCAGACCAAGTGTACAGTAAGTAGGTGTAATTTCTCCTTAGAAAATGTAATTATGAGGGATTTCAGTATTGTATGTCTTCATTCATTTCAGGACATATACATAAAGCTAATTTAAGATGTATTTTATAGCTATGAATGGCCCTCTTTCATTCTTTAATGTTGCCTTGTACAAGAAGATTATGGAGCAATTTGCTTTCCAATAGGCATTTTGTTCCTGTTGCATTAACTTCTTGCCACTGCCCTCTTGAATGATGTTAGTTTTGATGGATAGGACGGTGCCTGTGCTCAGTAATCTGATTTGAAGGCAGGTGGAAGGAAATTTTCTTTGTCTTAGACCAAAATCTGCAAAGTATAGGATTAAGAATATAGTTCTCATTAAATTCATCTAATAGAAACAAGCTATCTATGAAACAGCTTGTCAGTATTAAAAATTCTGAAGTCTCTTTGAGAATACTTAAGAAAATTTGGGTTGAAAATTTGCTCAGAGCTTTTTTCATGCATTGGGTTGCATTGTAGATTTAGCAATGTTCTGGAAGAACAACTAATGGAAGCAAAACCTACAATAAGAAGGTTGGTGTGTGAGTTGTGTAATTCTTTTTCAAATGTCTTCTGAAGTTACTTTTGAAACAGTTAGTGGAATGTATTTAGCACAATGTCTTGCACAAGAGGAATCCAAATGGCATTAGATTTTGTACTGCAAATATACATTAACAACTTTCAGAAGAAAATCTGTGCTTTGTAGATTACAGTAAAGCTTTTAACTGCATGGATCATGATGTGCTATGGATTATTATGCCACGACGGTAGTTGTGCCATATATTTTGCATAAGCACAATAATTAGGATTCTGCAAGCAAAAGGAAAATAGAGGGGTGCCCCAAACAAAAAAGTATAACTATGAAAATAGACCGCAAACCAGCACCAAACTTGGACAGATGCAGCAGAAAGTCTGCTCTTACTCTGTACCAAATTTGGGGACAATATCCCACATTCATAAACTAGAGGGTTTTTTTTTTGAAGAATTGAATTATTTTAAAAAGTCACAACATTTAATTGACCTGATGTATAATCTATCTCTGGACAAGAGCCTGCTGTCAGGGTAGAATATGGAAAATATATGTCAGTCACCAAGATTGATGCCAAGGAGTGTCGTAATTCTAGGACCATTGCTTTAATTTCCAATGCAAAGAAGGTAGTGTTCAATGTGTTGCAACAAAGGCTTTTACCTTATATAAAATGAAAAATGCCTGACAGGATATTTTGGAGATCATTCATTCAGAGTCGCTACAAGTTGGAAACAACTTGACAGCACATAACAGTGGGAGAATGATACATTTGGTCAGAAACTAGATGTTTAGGTTGCCTCCAGCATGTAGAAACGGTTGGGAAAAGATATATAACCTGTCCTTTAAAATATCTTCCTTAGTCTACCTTCCTCTATATTGTTTGGAATTATGGTCTTGGAAATGTGCTTTGGACAAATAAATTGCTAAGGAGGGGTCTAGATCAAAAGTAGCAGTTAAGGGAAAGATTAAGTTTTCACCTCCTGTCTCTCTCTCTCTCTAATTTAATTTTTTAAATATTTTAAATAAAATACAACAAACAATAAATAACAAAAATATAAATGAGAAATAAAATCATAACTCAAATGTGCAGTGTAACCTACTACCTTTGGGTTTATCTATTTATTTATATCTTCATTAATACATTTTGTCTTAATTTATATTAAAAATGATTCTTGTGTTGGGGTATAACATTTATGTTTGATAAATAAATGTTCTTTAAAAAATTCCAGTTACCTGCTTTTTCTCTGTTTAAAATGCCTGCCATCACTTTACCAGACAATTCAGAACTGGAAATTTATTATCAAAAGTTAGTTCCACCATTAATCTTGCTCTTATCTGGTAACTCTTTGTGACTGTGAGCTGTCCTGAGTGCTGAAAAGTAAGCCCTTGCATGCTTTCTCAGGAGCTTATATATATATATATATATATATTTTTTTGAGACTCTTGTAGAAATTTAGTCTTTTGCTATTCATCTTTCATTCACTTCCAGTAGTATTGTGGTGTTTACCATGGTGTTTTACTGTAGAATGTGAGTAATTTTCTTTAGTGGATTAATTCCATGGAAATAAAACCACTTTGTTTCAAAGTTTTATGCATATTTGTACAATATTTAGTCCATGTTGTTGTATTACAGCTATGTGAAATTGTGTTGTATTGAACATAGTTATGCTTTATCTTCACAGCCTTTAAATACACTGTTCATGCATCTGTTTGTGACAACTGATGAATATGCAACTGATTGTTGCCATGAAATTATGAAGTAAGTTAAAACATAAGGACGCATATAGGGAAGTGTCTAGAGATCATATTTAGCATAGGATTTGGTATTTTAAATTTAAAAACTGACATTTGTTTAGCAGTTCAGCCTTGCAAATACATGCATTAAAGCAGAGGTCATCAACCCCCCCGGTCTGCAGCCCGGTGCCAGTCCATGGGCTTGCTGGAAGTGGGCCACTGATATCGATCTCAGCCCCCCACATGCATGTGCGGTGGCCGTGTCACGCTTGCGTGGGGGGGGATGTCATGCCCGTAGTGGGTGTGTCACGCTCGCAGGGGGCATGTAGTGGCCGTGTCACGCTTGCGTGGGGGGGATGTCGTACCCGTAGTGGGTGTGTCATGCTCGCAGGGGGCGTGTTGCGCTTGCAGCAGGTGTGTCACATGCGTGCATTCTCTAAATGAAGAAAGTCAGTCTTGGGAAATAGTGTCATGTCAGCTTTGGAAGTATTTAATAGTATAACTATCTAGAAGTGCTTGTCGTAAAAATGCTCTTCTCCATAATGTGGTACACCTTTTATAAATCAAGTAAATTGTGTTTGGCATTATGTTAACTCTTGCAACCCTGCACACTTCTAGATTTAACAGGATTAATCACATACTTGATAATACTGCTTTATATTCAGCTAGTCAGGTGAACATGACCAAGAACCAGAATAGGAGTCATTTAATATCTATTCTGCTTTCTACAGCTCATCCCATACTTTAAGAAAACAGTAGGTTTGGCAGAAATGATTAAATGTGTAATATGTATGTCAAGTCACCTCAGCAAGATACCCCATTTGTTTTCTGTAAGACCTCATGGCACCATTTGACCCCTTTATCTGATTTAAAAAAAAACTCTATTCAATCTCATAATTCTATTATATTTGTAGCCTTTCTTTTTTCAAAACATAAAGTGTAGTATAGCATAAACAGAGCATGTTTTCCTGTTTTCTCATATCATGTTGTGTATGTTACTTTGACATGGAAGAGTCAACTCTGATAAATAAGACAGGGTATAGACTTTAGTATTTTGGAAACTAAAATGGAAAACTGTACTTATATCTAATTTCCTCCTCCAGGACTGTCTTTAAAACTGTACCAGAGCTGCATTTTATACTTCTTTTTGTACCAACTCAAGAGGAATTAAGTAAGCATTTAATTTTTTTTCTGGTTTGGGGTGTGTGCTGGTACTAATGTTCCTCTGTAGTAGTTGTGCCTTAGGGGGTACTCTCATATTGCAGGATTCTTTGAGGAAAAGTATCCATGGAATGCTTCAATTTTCACAGATTTAGCTGTAGTGAGTTGTGAGGTAAGAGGGTTCCCTTGCTTTTTTTTTTAAAACATACTGGTCAGGAGCCTCCATGGTGGCAATTATGCCTTTAAACAAGACACACCCCTCCCCCAGATTTTGTTTTGGATACCCCTTCCAGAGGTTTTACAGAACTAGAGGTGGACTTTCAGCTTCTTTTGATTTGTTTCTTGAGGCTAGTGCAACCCTTCAATGCTGCTAGCAAGTGAAACTTGGTTGTTGACCTCCAGAGCAGGCCTACTATTGCTCTAGGATGTGTGCAAGAGATCCTCATTAAGTCCCTAATGATCAGTTTCTCTACGAAAATGGATCAATGGCCAGAAATCTGACATCAGAAACCACAGTACACAGAAACCTGTCTCCAACCATTTCAGTCTACCAGGTCACTCTATGGAAGATTTAAAAGTCACTGTTTTAGAACAGAATCACTTTTTTTCTTTCTTAAACAAAGTGCCTAAATTTGCACTTTGTGTAAAGAAGAAAGAAAAAATATAGGCACTTTGTTTAAGAAAGAAAAGCCCTTAATCCACTATTCCATATCCTTGCTGGTTTTTTTTTACTTCTTTGATCGTAGTAGGTAAACTGACCATTTTCTTTTTCTAGTTTCACTGATCAGCTCTCTCTAGGAATCAGAGTATCTCAGAACTGTGATTCTCTGATGCTGCTATTGTTGCTTTTTTGTGACTTTTCTTGGTCATTAACTAAATAAGGAAAATATCTTATCAAAAGGATTGGGGATCATTTTGTTATGAATTTTAATTTAAATATCCATTTTATTTTAAAAAGTTGTTATTAATTTTTAAATCTGACTCCTATTTAAATATATTTTGGTCTGGGGCAGTAATATTTTTCATGATATTGTGACAATTAATTTGGGGGGTAATTATGAATTCATTTTACATTCTTAAGGAAAAAAACTAAAAATTAAAAATGCTACTTAATCTCTTTGGCCATGTGTCCACCAGCTATGTCCCTTTTGGAATATTGCCCTGGGAATTGTGTTAATGTGGACCAGTCACCACTATTAGTATTACTGTGCTGGAAAACATTTTATTTTATTTGCAAAACTTCATTTTAAACTATAAACACGAATACCTACTTATCTGGGAATAAGCCCTATTGAAATGATTGGGACTTAATTTTAGGTTGACATGTATAGTTTCACACTGTTAAACTATATTACAGTATACCTGCTGGCAAAAAATGAAAGTCTTCTAGACAGAACTATGAATTATAAGAGAAACAGATATTTATCCTAACATCAGGCTGATAATACCAAACTTTATTAATCTAAATATAAAACTTGAGGAAAATAAAAGGATTAAAATACTGTTATAATGAGGACATGAGGAAAAATATTTAGTTAAACAACAGTAACAGATAGAGTATATAATAGAAACTGAAACCTGTTGGTGTGTTATTTAAAACAAGAATCATTGTTTAGCCTCTTCAAATGATATACGTTAGTATAGCAATTAAATTGTTGACTTAGTTTTTTAGCATGGGTTAGAGTGAAAAACTATTATTGTTAGTTGTTTATTATGTGGTTTTTTATTTCATCTAACAATGAATAAAACTGAAGGTATAGTAGTAGTAGAGTACTGTGAATCATTGGTTTATGCCCTTTAAATTTCTCTAAATATATGGTATCCTTTATCAGAATGTTCAGCTAACAGTAGGATTTGTGTTAGAAATCAAATTCAGTGTTTATTGAAACCTGTTTGGTACCTGCTGAAGATATTCAATGCAAAATGTAAGGTTATTTTCTGTATACTTTTTCTGTCTTTAGGTACAGACTTATCAGCTGCTTTTGTACCAATGAAGAGTGTACCAGGTTCGATTCTAAATATAGACTATATGCTATATGTGTCACATAGGCACCAATATTGTCCCCAGCTACATGTCCGTTATGCCAGGTAAGTTTTCTGTATCTTCCGTGATTTTTGTAAATGTTAAACAGTTTCCCTTTTCTGCCTTATTAGCAGCCTTCACTATTTCTAGTTCAGCAATTCCTACCTTTTTTCTATCCATGTTTTCTTTCTTTCCAAGGTGCAGTTGCTATTGTTTCATTTTGTCAAGAATGCTAATTAGCTGGCTAGTTATTTAAAGGCAAATGTTTCCTGATGTTCAGTCACTGTCAGATACGACTAACTGTGATTTTATATAGAAATAGATGATTAAGGAACTGCAAGTATTTCAGAGTTACCAATTCTCATGCAGCGTTTAAAAGGTCCTCCCCATCCACAGTTCCTCTGGTTTCCCACTACACTTGGAAAAGAAAAAACAACTTAATTTAAATGGTCAGTTTTTCCTCAAAGTCTCCAAGGGGAGCAATTTGCATTTTAAAAAGCATTCCTCCTAAAATTGGTTTTAAATTTAAAATCTTTTTTCCCCAAAACCGAAAGTGACCCACTGGTCATTTCTGGTTTTGAAAACAATAGATGAGTGCTGGGGCAATGAAAATGCAATGGGCCAGCTCCTGATCTGAAACCTGAAACTGTAACCCTCTCCAGTCAAACAACAGGAACTTTGATAGTCTCTGAGGAAATAATCACATATCTGGGGGTTTAATCACTTTAAATTTCAAGTTCAGGCACACAAACCTGAATGCTCCAGTGGGGGAAAAATCTTTCTACATAGAACAGTAGGTGTAAAGGAAAAAAATCTCCCTGAATGTATGTTTTTATATATATGGAGAACAGTTAATCATATAATTTGAACTGACTCAGTCCAAATAGCAGTATACTGCCTCTGTAGCAACTAAATCTCTGTTAACTGAAGGGACAATTTTTCTTTCATTTCTCAATTCCAAACATTTCATTTTGGAAACAAAAAAGTCTTTATTGGATGTTTTCATAATAGGGAGCCTGTTTTGAAGGCTATAACCTTTGCACATTTCTGTGGCTTTTAAAATAGTTAATTTGTTGATAGATTCATCTCAGAACATTTCACTGTGTGGTGGAAATATGTAAATGGCATCCTTCACCCATTCAGAGCAGCAGGGCAAATCAGCATTCTACAAGGCAATTCTAAAAATGGGGGCAGCCACAAGGAGAAATTGTAGCTTTGAAACTGGATCAAGTTTGGCACAGATGTAGCAGACAGTTCACTCTTGCTCTCTGCCATATTTGGGGAAGTTTGGGCAAATGGTTTTCAAGTTATGAATTTTTAAAAGTAAAACTGCCCCCCATGCAGAAGAAAGTGGCTCAAAATGTCCCCAGATTTAATATAGCTCACACAGATCAAAAAGACCAATCTTGCTTATCTTTAAAGAGAATACAGTAGTTAATTCCACTCACTTTTTTTCACTTTGGAAAGAATCCAGAATGTGGGGGTTGAAATACTGATCCTCAAAAAAGATTTTTCAAAAGGGCAAAACAATTACGTATTTTGTTAAAACTGAGTATGCCTGGGACAGGCGTATCAATAAGAGCATTCCAAAGTAGATATGTTGTTGCAGCTTTGTTGCCCAGGAAGGGAGATATTTGTAGGGCAATTAAAGGTCACAGAATCAGTCAAAATACAGGGTTTTTTCAGAGTCTTTTTAAAAAGGCTTTCTTTAAAGCAGGCTTGTCCAACCTGCGGCCCAAGGGCCGCATGCGGCCCAGCCCCCCATGCAGAAGAAAGTGGCTCAAAATGTCCCCAGATTTAATATAGCTCACACAGATCAAAAAGACCAATCTTGCTTATCTTTAAAGAGAATACAGTAGTTAATTCCACTCACTTTTTTTCACTTTGGAAAGAATCCAGAATGTGGGGGTTGAAATACTGATCCTCAAAAAAGATTTTTCAAAAGGGCAAAACAATTACGTATTTTGTTAAAACTGAGTATGCCTGGGACAGGCGTATCAATAAGAGCATTCCAAAGTAGATATGTTGTTGCAGCTTTGTTGCCCAGGAAGGGAAATATTTGTAGGACAATTAAAGGTCACAAAATCAGTCAAAATACAGGGTTTTTTTCAGAGCCTTTTTTAAAAGGCTTTCTTTAAAGAATTGTGTGACAATCCTCCAAAAAGGGACATTTTGCCATGTATCTCTAGGGAATTAGCATACAGTTTTAAGGCATATTCAAACTATTTCTGCATTACAAATGATAGAATAGTTGTGTTTGTCCCAGCTCTGAGTGTTTTCAGTAAACATTGTTTCAAGATTCCAGAGACCATGCTTCTGACACAAGTCTTCAAATAAATCAGCTCCAGGTATGGAGCAATCTAAATTTTTAACCCTGTCAGTCAGGACCCGATTAGCTGATTTTCAGGTAGAGAATTTTTTAACCATTCACATTTGTCAAAAAATAGCCCTAACAATTGCTTTGTATTTGAGTGAGAAGTAGTTCACAGATGAAACAATAAGCCAGTTTATAGGTTTTTCCTTGCTTGGTGTCACTTTGTGAATAGAGCAAGCACAAGCCTTTTTTAAAAGGCTTTCTTTAAAGAATTGAGTGACAATCCTCCAAAAAGGGACATTTTGCCATGTATCTCTAGGGAATTAGCATACAGTTTTAAGGCACATTCAAACTATTTCTGCATTACAAAAGATAGAATAGTTGTGTTTGTCCCAGCTCTGAGTGTTTTCAGTAAACATTGTTTCAAGATTCCAGAGACCATGCTTCTGACACAAGTCTTCAAATAAATCAGCTCCAGGTATGGAGCAATCTAAATTTTTAACCCTGTCAGTCAGGACCCAATTAGCTGATTTTCAGGTAGAGAATTTTTTAACCATTCACATTTGTCAAAAAATAGCCCTAACAATTGCTTTGTATTTGAGTGAGAAGTAGTTCACAGATGAAACAATAAGCCAGTTTATAGGTTTTTCCTTGCTTGGTGTCACTTTGTGAATAGAGCAAGCACAAGAAGGTAGGTATTCTGCGGTAGACCATCTTGACCACTCCCATCAGTGTTTTCAACATTCAGGCTGCCCTTGGCTATGTAAAGTTCAGCATATTTTTTCCTGCTGGCAAAATAGGTGTGATAGTGTGCAGAAATATCAGGCCATTTCCTGGAGTTTTGAATTGTGGATACAGAAGCATAATATCCCGTATTAATAAACTAGAATTTTTTGAAGAATTGAATAGTATTCAAGGCTGGCTAAATTATTTTGACACATGAGATAGAAAATCTCACAAGCACCTCTCTGCTCTCCTGAAAGTAAAAAAAATATAACAATGTATGATTATAATTATAATAACAGCAACATGTTGAATAAAACAGATGAAAATATAATAATAGCACATTGGATAATAAACAGTTTTCTGGCCTTTGATAACCCTTTGAATCTGCTTGTCTTAGGCAGCTACACCATCCTGTTTAAGGGGAGAGCAGACTCTGATTTTTGAATTACATTGCTTTTCGTCATCGTCGTTTAGTCGTGTCCGACTCTTCATGACCCCATGGACTAGAGCACGCTAGACCCTCCTGTCTTCCACTGCTTCCCATAGTTGTGTCAATTTCATGTTGGTAGCTTCAATGACACTGTCCAGCCATTTCATCCTCTGTCGTCCCCTTCTCCTCTTGCCGTCACACTTTACTAACATCAAGGTCTTTTCCAAGGAGTCTGCTCTTCTCATGAGATGGCCAAAGTACTGGAGCCTCAGCTTCAGGATCTGTCCTTCCAACATTGCTTTTAGATACTGACAAACTGGAAACAGTTTGGAAGTAAAATGATTACATGACCACTAGAGGTCACCATAAGCCTTATAACAATGTTATTCTATAGAGCAGCAAAAAGAGAAAAGACACAGGAAAGCAAAATGACCTTTGTCTTCAGATGTTCCAATAGCCATAGATTTTTTTAAAAAAAGAAAGACAAACATTTTCTCTCCCCACATGCCACACAAACTATGTCAGAATTACACAGGTACTGTATATTGCTTGTTTACAGGTTTGTTTCTACAATGGATCAAGACAAATAAATCTGACTATGTTTAGGACTGGCTAGTTTGATACCAACCTAGTTTTCAGGTTACTTCAATTTATACCAAATAAAATTTATTTTGGAGCATTCTGTCCTGGGCTTAGGCACTCTAAATTGAGAGACAGCCCGTTGTGAAATCAAGACAAACCATTTTGTAAGGCTTATTATTCTTGACATGTGGACAATCCAAATGTCATCATTCTGACCATCCAGCACCATAATGGTGCAAAATTTATGTAAACAATGGCTGAAAGTCTATTGCTTAGCCCAACAAGTCACACTAGAATAGGCCCATTGAATCAGTGGGGATTTGCATATTAGTTGTGAGAGGAATTATTTATTGTGTGTTCAAACATATGCAATAATAACAGCACTTTAAAAATAATTAAAATAATAGTTATTGATAGATAAATCGGATTACATTTAGTGTAAGAGCATAGCCACTCAATCATACACTTTTTCAGAAAAGTACTAAATTTACACTATCAGTGGTTCTTCTTCCTAAACTGATGGATGTATTATTTGAGATATGTGCACAGGCACAACTAATAGAATCAATGTCAATAAAGTGATTTATATAAGAAACAGGATATACAGTAACTTGAGTTTCATATGGTCATTAAAAGTACCATGATAGCTTTGAACAGTCATATGATGGGATTTTAAAAACAAAGTTTAATGTGTATATGCACAAACATTTTATATAATATATGTTGCTTGTACGTATTCCTGTACATATTGACAGAAATGAAACAGAAATGTGGGCATATGTTGAAAAAAGCTGATATTAATTTTTAATTTGAGATCTCTATGGCCTGCACAATATAGTTCCAGCAAATATATTGAAGCCTTCTTCCTCACATAAGAATTTGTGGTGCTTTCTACACTCTTTTATTGTCACAGAACAGCAGTTCATAATGAGCTGGAAAAGCTTCAAGGACTGTTTTAGAATCCTTGACTGCAACACTGATATCACCAGTTATCTTGGATGGAAAGAATCCTCTGTCTGTGGTGCAATCAGAGCAGATAAATCTTTCCTGAAATAACAAGTATCTACTCTCACCACTAATATATAATTGCACTATACAATAATTAACGTAGGCTGCAGTCAGAATTGACCATGTCAGCAGGAGTGTAAAAGAACAAACCTCAACTTCCCCATAGCATATACATTTTGTTATATATTCAAAAAGTCCCTGCTTTTCCTGGTCAGAGAAGTAACACCAGTAAATAGTTTCTGTTATATTAGTTCCAACTTTGTCATTTGATAGCATCTATGAGCTATTTGTTTCAAGTAATGAAGACATTTTAAAGATGATTTGATAAACACTTAAGATGTGGATGAAAATTTTTGAATAGCCTGTTAATTTAGAAATCCATCCATCATAGTGTTATGGGTGAAGCTTGCGTTATGGGTGATGTACTTGTGTTTATATCTAGTCCAAGAAAATATTTGATCCAACCTACCTGTTCGAAATCTGTAGCACTGTCCTAGATTGGTTATCTGCTGAAATTCTGCATTCTTTTATGTTGATTACAACATCCAGTATATAGATAGTTATATGTATAGACAGTTATATGTAAGCAGGCCTCATTCTCAGACCTTCATTTATCATAGCAAATGTATAATATTTCTGACTTCTAGCAATGTTGCTACTCACAGGAATAGTGAAGTCCGAGCTTCTTTCTATGATAGCTTTCAATATTAACATGATAGCTTGTAGAGTAGCTAATATGAATTTTTCTGTAGGAAGGAAAATTGAAAACCTTCTTACCCTATGAAAATGGGAATATCCTCAAGCTTTTTAATCCTTTGCATATTATTTCTGGAATATTATAGTTTTAAGTACTTCAGTCTTTGTGATATTTTTAGAGCTTTAGATGCCTGTTTTCTTCTCTGTTGTTTTAATTTATTCTTCTTTTAACATACAGTTTCAAGCCTTTAAAAATTAGTTTATATGGGTTTTGAATTTTATTTCCATTAATACATTTCAAAAATAAATAAAGTTTCAAATTTGATTTCCATTTGTCTGATATGTAAGAGAAAAAGAAGACAGGAAAAAACATTGTAGATTTATAAGACAAGTTAATGTTCTTAGAAGACTCCATCTGAACTGAAAGCTCATGTATCCTTTGTATGTGTACGGCAAGTGATAGGGTTGGAAATGGCTAATATTAGCTGGTCATTGTTGAGAAAAAGGCATTTTGTATGTGCTCAGAGTAATTTTATATAGTATAGCTGAGCACAATTTTGTGTGGCGTTCTGGATGGAAAATTTATTTTGAGATTCGACCCATTATGAATTCTGACTCTAGTGAAACCATTTTGCAAGAGCAGTTTCATGATAAAAGATCCAGAGCCCTTGCTGTACTTTGCTTGCTGAGAGGAATGTGGTGTGAATTCATCCCAGACACCTCAGAAAGCACTAGTTGGTATGTGGAACTATTTTATACTCCTCAACCCAATAGATCATCACACTGTATGTTGGCTGTGGGGCTCAGCACTTGGTTGTTACATAGAAAACAAATAACAGCTCTACCAACCACTGATAAAGGGCAGAAACCCTTTGATAGAAAATTTTCAATATGTTCATTCCAAAATGTTATTTTTAAATCTCTAAATGCAATTGTTATTGTCCACTAAAGTAAATCCATTAAAATTTTTAGGGTAGAGGACCACGATGATCTCACACCTCTCTTTGCATGCCACAATGATATGCTGAGGGAAACCTATGGAGAGTATTTCCTTGCTGAACTAATAGAAGCACAAGATGAAGACAATCTTGCTGTGGTTTGTGAGGTGAGCCTTTGCATATGCTATCAACAGAATAACTGCTTCCACGTGTTTTTGTCCTGTTTTGTTTTGTTTCTTTGGATTTTGCCTGCTGTTCTGATGTTTTTGATGGGCACTGTATGGGCTAATTCAATTTAATTCAGACGATTACCATATCTACTATTGTGGGCAAGAATCCCGTAGAAGAAATGGAGTAGCCCTCATAATCAACAAAAGAGAGGGAAAAGCTGTACTGGGATACAATTTCAAAAATGAGAGAATGATTTCAATACGGATCCAAGGTAGTCCTTTCAACATCACAGTAATGAAAGTTTACTGAAGAGGCTGAAATTGACCAATTGTATGAAGACCTGACACCAAAGAAAGATGTTATTCTCATTATAGGGGACTCAAGAGGAGTCTCTTGTAGGCAGTCAAGAAATAAAAGGAACAACATAAGAGGAGTCTCTTGTAGGGAATCAAGGGACTCAAGAGGAGTCTCTTGTAGGGAGTCAAGAAATAAAAGGAACAACAGGAAAGTTTGGCCTTTGAGTTCAAAACAAAGCAGGGTAAAGGCTAATACTTTTGTCAAGAGAACAAGCTGGTCATCACAAACATTCTTTTCCAACAACACAAGAGGCGAATCTACACATGGACATCACCAGATGGGCAATACCAAAATCAGATTGATTATGTTCTCTGCAGCCAAAGATGGAGAAGCTCTATACAGTCAGCA